TTGCCCTGGAATTGTTCCCGCACTGGCAGTGGATTTGCCTAGCACACTGTGTCATGCAGAACAGACAAGGCTCCTAGGATTTGTGTTCCTCTTGCTTTTCTAGATTTTCAGTAATATTATTGAGGGTGACAGAACCACAGATTTCACATGGCCATAAGTTCGTATAAATACAATTTCTGTGTATTTTTTTAAATTACCTTTTGTCTCAAACTTCTTTTTTAATATGCTTTTATATTCTTATCAAATCTCTTGTAACTTTTTTCTGTTCCTATTTTCTACCTTAAGCTCTTCACTTTCTCCCTAATTCAGCCATATTCAATGCTTGACTTCACTGTAACATTTTGTTTCAATATATCTAAAACTGGTAAATTCAACCTCAGTTTCTCCTTTAACATTTCATTCTTAGTTTCAAAAATCTAAGTGATACCTTATTTTCACTTTCTTTTTCCACTACTCATTTTTTCTTTTTCTGTAATAAATTTTATTAAGTTAGTATTTATAACTATTCCACAGTTTATATTACCTTTACTAACCCATGCCATCTCACCTGGGCTAACTTCTTGGTTGACATTGTTCCAAGTTAGAACATAGCTCTTTTCTGTTTTAAAAGCGTAATCTCAGAAATGAAATCAAATATTGGCTACACTCAGTTGCCTGAGCCACCTGAAAATAAATATTCCTTTTGCATGAAAGGATCTCAACTAAATTTTAGAGAGAATCTTTGATGTGAACCCTGGAATAAAGCGATAGTCATTGCTATAGGTTAAATATGTATCATTGAAGACTTACCACCTTTATTCAGTATTAGCCTTTTAAAGTTTAGATTCTGGAAAAAAAAATGGAAAAAATAACTAAGAGGTTGTTTTATCTTATATACCATAAAGAAGAGAACGTTTCTGTTTTTAATTTCCTTTTGAAGTATATGGCTTCAGGCAATCAAATAAATTGGTACAATGTCAAAATAAATAAATAAATAAAGTTTAGATTCCTTCCATATGAGAGGTATTAATGAATTTGAATTGAATCATCTTTAAAAGTTCCATAACTCAATTTAATTTTGCTGACTTTAGTTGCTTAAAATTTTTAAGAAAAAACATGATTCTGATTAAAAATTTTTATTGCATTTCTTCTTCTCCCCTAGCTTTTTGGAGCTATAAATTGACAAATAAAAATATTATATATTTACAATGTATAGCATGATGTTTTGATGTATGTATACATTATGAAATGATTACCACAGTCAATCTAATTAGCATATCCATCACTTCACATGGTTATTTTTCTTTTTTATTGTGGTAAAAACATTTAAGATTTATACTCTTAGCAAATTTCAAGTATACAATACAGTAGTATTAACTGTAGTTGCCATGCTATGCACTAGATCTCCAGAATTTATCCATCTGCATGACTGAAACTTTGTACTCAACATCTTCCCACTTGCCCTACCCCCCAAACCCTGGCAACCACCGTTCTACTTTGCTTCTATGAGTTTGACTTCTTTAGGTTCCACATATAAGTGAGATCATGCTATATTTGTTTTTCTGTGCCTGCCTTATCTTATTTTACATAACATAATGTCCTTCAGGTTCATCCATATTGTCTCGAATGACAGGATTTCCTTCTTTTTTAAAGCTGATGTGTTCGGCCTTAAAATATGTGTGTGTGTGTGTGTGTGTGTGTGTGTGTGTGTGTGTTTATATACACACACAATATTCTATTGTATATATACCACGTTTTCTTTATCTACTCATCCATCATCAACTGACCCTTAGATTGAATTCATATCTTGGCTATTGTGAATCATCTCTGTATTTTTCACATTGATTTATTAAAAAAAAAAAAACTTTCACTTTTAGTACCAAATATTAAAAAGGCAGGCATTGGGGAAAATATACATTTCTTTCTTAGAAATGTTGGTATCTAACAGATCTTGGATTCCAACACAAAAACATTTCCCATTATCGCTGCATTAAGAATAAGAAGGTTTTGGACTAATTAAATATTAGCCACTTTTTGTTTTTTCTCCTTCTTAAATATCATTGCATATTCAACTAAGTCTTGAACAGAACCTTTTTTATATATAATACACATCTATGAGAAGCTTAAATTGATTTACACTAAAACAAATTCTCCCAATTTACATAAGAGGAAATTTAAGGAATCATTTCACAACGTCTTCCAACTGCTTCAAATGGGTTTATCTTAATGATTTAGTTGAATGACTTATCCAGTGCCATACTGGAAGTGTAAATGAAAAGTACGACGTGTAAAACTCTTATTTCAGTATTCATTCCACAAGTTCGCCATTTCCAAACTAGTACTTGGAACAGTTTATAATGTTAAGTATTTTAAGTTTTAGTACCTCAAAATAAATTCATTTGTTGAATGATTTAATGTTAAAATCTCCTAAAATATAATGTTCAGAATTCTCTTGCTTTCTTATTTGAAGTTGTAATAACTTCAACTTCCTGCAGTGCGGGGTCCACCTGGATAATATTTGAAAATAGAAAAATACAAATTATCTCTTTTAACGTTTACTTACTCTCTGGGATGCTCAGCAAACTGAGTAGTCTTCATTAGGTAAGATCATTTAGCATTTAAAAGAAAGTCTGAGTTTCTGGGGAAAATGTTGGAGTTGCTGTTAGCTATACTAATCCTAAATCCTTTGAAAAAATAAATGATCTTTTTCAGAAAGTTGTGTTCGATTGCTACAGTGGAAAATAATATTAACATTCTATACCCATTTTAGATAAACCCTACTTCAAAATGTCAGAGAACTGCTTTGCTTTTTCTTGAACTAACATGTTATGGTCTCTTTCGAAATTTTTTCTTAGGTTGTGGGGACATAAAACTTTCATTTGAAATATATCAATAGACTTATTTGGTGCAAATGATAGAAGGTGCAATGCATTGCTCAGTACAATCAGTAATATGTCTCTTCAATAATGATAACAAAAATGATAGTAAGCAGAACTGTTCCTAACCCCAAAGAAGCTTGAAGTCCTTAGTTTAGATACTTCATAGAAATTCCTCAATAAGTCAGTCCTCCTTTTACCCCCTGCCAACACAAGAAAGAAATCTTTTCCAGATAAATTCACCCACACCGGTTATCAAATCTTAACATCGCAGAAGTAAGTCAATACGTTATTTGGCGAGCCAGCTAAAAGTTATCATTCTTCTCCTGCCTTTTCCTTCACCTCTTTCCCACCACCACCCCCACCCCCTTAGTTTTTAGGCTTCTTTAACTTCAGAAGCAATCATTCCTACTTTATGTCAAAATCAGTACTTTGAAAATTGGAGTAGTCTTCATTACTGTTTTCTGTAACTATCTTCATTTTCAGACTAAAATTACAGAAGCACTTCTTTTTGGTTCTTTCTAGCTCCTAATAGAATATTTTTATTTCATGTTGAGAATTTCAAATAGTAAATTTTAAAAGGAGATTAATTACTCTATTAATCACTTGTTTTATTATTTATTTAATATCTTAAATTGTCAAATGTTTCTGTTCTCTTAATATTACTTCTTCTCTGATTTTGTTGCTATAGATTTAATATAATATAACCTTTTAAGAGTTTGTTTTTATACTTGTAGCATCCTGAATGATTGGTTAGCTTTAAAATGTTGCCTTTTTTCCTAGTCCACACTAAAATCCATTGAGTGTTCTAATTGCACATAACACTAAAGAAAAGCCTTGTCTACCACTTGTAAAAACAAACTGTGAATGTGAAAATGTCTTTTGATATGACTGCTTTATAAAGCTCAATAAAGCTCTTTTAATCCAGAAGAAGACATGGCTTAAATATTTGTCAGACAGAAAGTATGCAGCAGCAAATGATCTTTATTTTACCTAAGTCTAATGACATAATATATAAAAATAATTGTTTGGGTTGCTAAGATTATATTTTACTAATTACTGTAAAGTAATACACTATTTTAGAAATGGTAAGCAAACACTAGTATTTAGAAAAAGCTGAAAAAGTAGAGCAATAAACTGAAGAAATTGGAGAAGATACTAATTTTAAGAGAAACAAACTAGAATCAGGTTTTTTCCCTAAAGAACAAATAAGACTCTTAAGAAATTGAAAGAACCTTTTAAAAAGCAAGATTATAAGGGAGATGTACTCAGATGATAAGAAACAATGAAGTAAAATCATCCATTTTAGTAAGAGCTTAATGACCTTAACTGAATAAAATCTAAAAAGTCACCTAATATAAAAAACACTGGTTTGAATTTGAACTTAAATAAGACCCTACACAGTTTTGGCCGAATTATAAATGATTGATTAATATTAGGACTTCTTCAAATATTTGGATTTATCAATTTGTAGTTTTAAAAGGTACACAAAGTTCTCTAGGTATGACTGAAGATTTTTTAAAAATCTAAATGTTGACTTTTGTGTCATGATGAATGTAATACCAGTAGAAGCCACAGGGTGGTGGCAGGAACTTGTGTTAAAGGAGCTTAAATACATAATTGCACTATCTTTAAAATGTTTGTTAAATGCTAAGGAGCTGTAGCTTGGTTTTCTTTATTCCTCTAATACAGCCGCATTTCTCAGCAAAGAATCTATAACAAAATACAAAGACATTGATTTAAATGTATAGGCCAACAATGGAAAAAAAAGTAAACTCACACGGATATTTTTTCTTAAAGTTTCTAGTCATGTCAGATGCTTGGTGATCAGAGTAGCAATTTCATCAAGATATGAATTTGAGGAAATTTCTTGAATTAGCAATACTGGAAATAGTAATTGAAGAAGTTACCAGAAATACTTCATGTCTTCATCTTATTTTTCTACTTTCATTTTCCTTTTTCCCTGAATGTTCTCGTTGGGAAAAAAAAATCTATTGTACCATATATATATATATATATATATCTGTAAGCTAACAAAACTTATTTTTCATTGAGGAAGATAAATTTTCTATTGTGTTTTCTGGTAACCCATTCTCATTTGAGTTTAGAAGCAATTTAAAGTGGTAATCATTTTATATCTTTAAGGTAAGAAGACAAGAGGTTTCTTCTCCAAGAAAAGAAACTTCACCAAGGAGTCTTGGCATTCCTTTATTCCATGAAAGGTAGTTCTATATCCTTTTTTGCCAACCCTACAAATTATAAATATTGAAATATATTTTTATGTACATATTTTAAATTTTTAGCAATTGTAAGAAAAAGCAGCCTTTCAAAACTAGAAGAGACCAACTCAAGGCTCCTCCATGTTAAAATGACCTAATTAAGTCATACAGTTAATAGCAAAGATGGGTCTAAAAACTGAATTCTCTGAAGTTCTCCTATATCAATAGAACAAGTACTATGGCCACATTGTTTTATATGGATGGCTCTTAATGTTAACCTTATCAAAGTGAGGAATATTTAATTTTTTCTATTTAAGATGTTCACAGAGGACAAAAAGTCAATACACTGAAATTTCTAATGTAAGAATGAGACAGCCAGCATAAGTGTGATATATGAATAAGTAGGTATGCTAGTCTTTGCTACATTTATGTATTAGAACTTTAATTTATCACTTACTTTGTACCTGGCTCTCCAAATATTAAAGTTGTTTTAGGAAACATTTTCTAGGAATTTTAAATGATTTTTCTTTAACTTTAACCTTTCAGTAATTATTTTGTGATACATTAAAAAGTGCTATGTAAATTCAATCATGATTTTTAAAAATTGAAGATATAGCCTTACATTTTAAAATGTTGATTTATTTTTAGAGGTTATATAGAGAAGACTTTCCGGGATCTGAAAGAAGAATTTCATAGAATATGCATGCTAGCCAAAGCACAAAAAGACCACTTAAGCAAACTTAATGTACCAGCCACTGTAACTGGTAAGGTTTGATGTAATGTACAGTAATATTAATTTTATTGGTTGAAACTGATTTATTTTTTATTGTGAAAATATTTCTAAATCCTTATTAAGTGCTGAGGATCTATAACTTGCGCTTCTCACCACTTATAATGGGTAAGTACTGTTTAAATTCTGTAATGTATTGCATTATATAATTATTGGCCTTTTCCCTATTTTATGTGGCACTATGTAGATTGAACTGAATGACATAATTACTAATCATCTTAATGAGAAGTCCCATCTTGGAAAAATAAATATAGAATATATCTCTCAAAGTCTTCAGTTGCTATTTGGGGGTCTTATTAAACATTAATTGATATATTAGTAAGCAACCTTGAAGCTACACTATCACATATGAGCTAAGTAAAATTATAGTATTAGGTTTGTTTTTAACTTCTGCCTAAAAGTTAATTGGACACCATGGATAGATTCTTGTAATTTGATTGAAGAAATAAACATTTCACATTTCATGAGGCCAGTTCTGTTGGACGTACAAAGTACAAATTAAGTATAAAATATAACTTAAAAGGAATATCTGGTTTACAGATATATTGCAGTGTGTTTTTTAGAAGCTCCACCCTTCCCTAAAACCCCAGACCGGCTTCCTGGTATTTGCCTCAGTAGTTCGATATGAATAGCAAAATACCATGGATTGAATCTGGCTACCATGTACCCCTGTAAACAAAAGGAAGGTAAACTGATGGTTTATAATGATAAATTCTCCTTTACCCTTGTGATTTGAGATATTCTACCTACAATTCCCAAGAGCTGTGATTTACAGTTTTTACTCTGAAAGATGTTGCAGCAGTGCTAACACTCCTTTAATTAAAGATCACTTTCCATTTCTTACAGCTCTTATAGCTAGGCTATTTAAAAAATCATTTTATAGGGTAAATTCACTTTTTGCTTACTACTACCGTTTTATTTTCAGAAAAGGTACACAGTATGCTGTTGGAGAAGCAAAACAATCTTTGTAGACAAACATAATTTACTTCTTCCCCTCCCTTCCCTCTGCTTCCCCAAAAGGAACTCTAATGTTTCCACCTTAATTTTTGTCATTTTCTTGAGAATTTGATCTTTTGTGCAGACTGAAGACACTAGGTACTTCTGAAGTACCAATAAAAGAATTATCTTTATTTAAAATCTACTAGCTATAGAGATGTAGTACCTACAATTAATCATGCTTTTTTGAACATCAGCGTAGTATCAAAACATTGTAATGGTGACGTATTCATTGTTACACAAAGAACCTACCCCGTTATCAATGGCTTAATACTTTGACCATTTTTAAATTGCACAAGTCTAAATCTGAGTATGTATTTGTCAACTAGAATACTGAGTGTTTAACTTCAATTTCCTTCCCACTAAAACTGCTTCCTAACATTATTCTTATGTTTTATATTAACTGTGTCACAAATAATAAATACAACATTATTCTTGAAATGTTTTAGGTCTTTTGTGCTACAGACTCCAGTGGAGTTTTGCTGGCTCCAAACAAACCACAATATCAAATATTATGCTTCTGACAGTAGTAGATCAAAGGGGGAAAGAAAGAAAAAGAAATGTTTTGGAAAAAGATGCCTATTCAGGTTTTTTAAGAGTGAACACTGCATTGAATACAAATGGAAAGGAACTATTTTAAATGTGATTTGCATAATACAGCTGGAAAGAGTTTATTTGACATTATTGGCCCCTGTGTTATTTTTTTGTTAAAATTTGATTTTTACTTTTAAGTAAACAGATATAATTCATAAATTGCTGAGTTAGTAGAATTGTACTTTTTATTTTTTTGCTTCTCATCCACATGACAGTAGCCTTGAGAAAGGACAAAGGTAAAATGTATGTTTAAGTAATTGTGGCTTCAAAAAAAAGTACTGTTTGGTCCATGAAGTAGGATCATATTTCAGTGGCGATCAGGAGACAAGGATATAGGACTAGAGGTTAAAACAACCCTCAGATCTTTTTCTTTTGTCAGTATACAAGGTAATTAAACTGAAAAGTCATCCAAATGGACAGCCTATACTTAAAATTTAGAAACCGAAAAAATTTTCTCATTTTACTTTTTTTTCCTTGCAGGAATACACGTCTTGACAAAACAAAACAAAATAGAAAGACAATTAGCTCACCTGATCATGTTTCTTAGTATAGTGTCAGAATGACAAGTGCTTTCATGCACCTTGTTTGATTTTTAAGTTTTCTAAGCTTGGATTTCTAGTAATCTTAGAAATCTTAACGTTTAAAAAAAAATTTTGTGTGTGTGAATAGTAACGCTCATTGCTTGAACAGATTAATTCAAAAGATTACTTTAATGTGCTGAGGTATGCCAGCTAGCTATACTAAAAGAAAATATATGCTTTATTCCACCTGTTTGGGTTTTCCATGTTTTGTTCACAAAGGGGATATCTGCTACTGGAAAAGAAATTCAAAGCACATTTCTGTCATTTTGGAGACCCTTCTCTATAATTTAGAAACCAGCATGTTCAATTTATCATAATGGTTCAGAGCACAGGCTCTAGGCTGCCTGGGTTCCAGTTCCAGATCTGTCACTCATTCATTAGCTGTGTAGCCCTGGAATTAACCCCTAAATTAATGCACAAACAATGGTTATAAGTGTGTGGCACATAGAAGTGCTGTATATGTTAATAGTTGTCATTATCAGCAGCAGCAGATTCTTTATTCTCCTGTTCTACTGAAGAACATTTTGATAAGTGTTTCCTCCTTCTCAGGTGTTGTAATCTACAAAGAAAATACTGTTTCCTAGAATTTCCTGCCACTCTTATGTCTACTACCAGGAAAAATGACAGCAATTGAGCTTGGTCTCAATTACTGTACCACTCCTAGTTACAGACAGATTATCTAGTAAATGTACATTATTATGCTAGGCTCTGTGGGAAAGAGAACACAGATTCATTCAGAAGGCATTTATTGAAGGCATACTATGTGCAGGCACTGGGCAGGGTACTGGAGATAAGTGGGAAACAAAACATAGTTTAGGACCTCAAGAAACCTACTTCAATGGGAGAAAGAGGTATATTTGCAAATACAATGCAGTGTATAGTCCTCAGAGCACCCAAGAGTCATGACTAAACCAGTCTTGGGAAACCAGAGAGAACCATCCGGAGAAATTAATGCCTAAGCCAAGACATGAAGGACAAATAAGAGTCAGGCAAAGAGTAATGGAAGGGGGAAGTTCAGGCAGTCTGCACAGCATGTGCAAAGGCCCAAAGACAAGAGAGCATGGCTGTTTGGACAACTGTACCAAAGTTCATTATAGCTGGAGTACGGAGTAGAGCAGATGTGGTGAAAGATGACAGCATGGAGAGGTGACAAAGGGCCAATCATGCACAGCTTTATGTGAGTTTTAGGGCTGAAGGTCTTGGAGAACCATGAAAAGGTTTTATTAAGAAGGTAACATGACCAGATTTGTATTTTAGAAAAACTAAGAGAGGGTTGGGGAAAGCAGTGTAAACAATAGAGTGGATATGAGAAAAATTTAGAGGCAAGGAAGTGGTTCAAAGGCTGCTGTAATCCAGTAAGAGAAGATGGTACATACTAAAGAGAGGTTAGTAGGCATATAACAGGGTGAACCAAGAAGTATTGTACTACAATCATGTCCAAACAGAAAACATCTGTGTTGAAATGTGCTGTGGCAAGAGAGAGAAAAGTGTCACAAGTCTGCAAAGACCAAAGGAAGGGAAAAGAACTGACATTTGTTAAGTGCCTACGAATCTGGACAGACACTGTACGCAGTGCTCTGTATACCCCGTCTGCTCAAATAGGCATCGTTGGTTAATGTATAACTTCACTGATGACTACTTTTTTGAAGTGCTAGTTTAAAATAAAATGTTTACCCTTTGTCCATTTAATGAAAATATACACATTACCAACCTCCAACCTGTCTTCTTTTTTTTTTTCTTTTTCTTTGGCTGTGTTGGGTCTTCGTCGCTGCCTGCAGGCTTTCTCTAGTTGCGGTGAGAGGGGGCTACCCTTTGTTGCAGTGCGCAGGCTTCTTATTGCAGTGGCTTCTCTTGTTGCAGAGCACTAGGCACGTGGGCTTCAGTAGTTGTGGCACGCGGGCTCAGTCATTGCGGCACGTGGGCCCTAGAGTGCGTGGGCTTCAGTAGTTGCAGCACACAGGCTCTAGGGCACGCGGGCTCAGTAGATGTGGCTCGAGGGCTCTAGAGCACAGGCTTAGTAGTTGTGGTGCACGGGCTTAGTTGCTCCACAGATGTGGGATCTTCCTGGACCAGGGCTGGAACCCATGTCCCCTGCACTGGCAGGTGGATTCTTAACCACTGCAACACCAGGGAAGTCCCTCACTGTCTTCTTGAAGTAACATTGTGGAATATAATCTAGCTTTTTCTAATGTCTCGGTATCATCAACATGGAGAGTGCTTTGATCATTGATTTTTTTGCATTGAAAAATGTAGCCTTTGTTCGCTCTACACTAGACTGTAGTGTGTTCTGAGTTCTTATATCTGCTTTTTTGTTTCTCTTGTCTCCTCTCGTGCTTTCAGCTCTTACTGATATCTATATCTGCTTTCAACAATTCATATCCATACCTTGTAGTTTGTTGCTTGTTACCAGCTATGAACTAGGGAGACATCATCAAGCTTGTTAGAATAAATCTAAAATGAGAATAAGAGCAAAATTCATCTGTGGGCCTTGTGGCTCTTAGCCTGACTCCTGAAAAGCACTATTTACTTTCTAGCTTTTGCCTATGTCCTAGAGAGCTGAATTTGTTGGATAAGTGGCTTCTAGATAAATGAGCTACAGAGGTCCTGGTATCTACCTGATATCTACCTGTTATCTACAGAGGCCTTTTTCTAATAAGATGAGAAAATCATATATTCACATAGACCTTTCTGAACATGCATCCTAAAATTTCATCCTTCTTTTGCCTCCAGTCTTCTCTCTCCCAGCACCCGCCACCACCACGCCTTCACATAGTATTAAGAGTAGACAATGGCTAAGCTGATTGGTGATACACTTTGTCACACAGAGATATTAGGGGGAGTAAATGACCTAATTCATATAGATTCATAACCTGTATACTATATATGTGCCTGGTAAGGGTTTTTCCTTTTAATAACTTACTTGCCTAAGCAAGCTCACAGTTGCAGCTTCCATTACTGATAAAATGTTTAGATGTATACACTACAAGCAAATGTTTTTTAAGTATAGAGCAGTATAACTGTGAACAAGATGCAAGGCTTACAGCACAAGGACCTAGGAAAAGACAAAGTAGTTAAACTGTGACTAATAAGCTACGTTCCAATTCACCCACTGGAGACTGCTAATATTTCTGTGTAAGGTGGTAGCAAATGTAAAAAAATCCCAGTTGTCTTCAGTTGCTGTAAAAGCCAGTAGAAAAAAATAATACTCATCTATCCAAAGCTAATTGAACGTTCAGATTTTTGAGAAGGATTGAAATGCAACTGTTTTCCTTTTGTTTTTTTTCCCCTGCAGAGACACAGTGCTCTGTGCCTATACAGTGTACGGATAAAACAGATAAACAAGAAGTGCTATTTAAGCCTCAGGCAAAAGATGATATAAATAGAGGTGCACCATGCATCACATCTGTCGCACCAAGAGGATTGGGCCAAGATGAGGAAGATACCTCTTTTGAATCACTTTCTAAATTCAATGTCAAGTTTCCACCTACGGACAGTGACTCTACTTTCTTACATAGCAGTCCAGAAAGACCCAGTGTCCTTGGTCCTGCCTCATGTGAGGCTATGTGCCAGGATAAATTTAATATGGAGCCCAGAGACAACCCGGGAAACTTTGTCAAAACAGAAGAAACTTTATTTGAAATTCAGGGAATTGACCCCATAGCTTCAGCTATACAAAACCTTAAAACAACTGACAAAACAAAACCCTCAAATCTTGTAAATACTTGTATCAGGACAACTCTGGATAGAGCTCCGTGTTTGCCACCTGGAGACCATAATGCATTATATGTAAATACATTCCCACTTCAGGACCCATCTGATGCACCTTTTCCTTCACTCGATTACCCAGGAAAAGCTATCCGAGGACCACAGCAGGTAACTGTTTTGCATTAACAAATATATTAAGTGTGAACACACATTTTGCCATGCATGCACAGATATGTAGCTTTCAGATTATCAGACACCTTTTTTAAACTAATGACTAGCCGAAGTTAAGCTTTCAATAAAAATATCCAAGTCCTGTAATAAATGACATGAAATTTAAAAGATGAATATGGTGAAGCTCTAGTATAAAGTACCTTAAAATTTACGGCACATTTTAAAATACATGTAAACCTTATCCATATCTAGTGTGTGTCATTTTCTTACTTAGTCCCTTATTCAAAGCTTTTAACTCGGGATCATTGTTATAATAGGATTCTTTATTAAATTTCATTCTGTGAAGCAGGTGGCATTTTTTTATCAAAAAGTTTGTGTGTATCATACTTATCTTTACAAGAATGCATGATTTTTTTTTATAAGTAAATAATCACATTGTATGTTTCTATTTCTGAAAATAAGCGAACTGTCTTTCAAATAATACTTCTGTTACATTCTCAGTTATACAGTACGTAGATCTGTAGGGTTTGGTTTTGGTTTTGGTTTCTAATCTGCAGCCTAATACATTTTTTAAACAGTCTCTACATATGTATGATTCTAATCAAATACTTTCATGTTTCTAAAGCTTGCAGACTACTTACAGCCCCCCACCCCAATCCACTCCTACCCTCCCTTTTATTCAGGTTCTATTACAAAATGATTCTTTAAGTTTAAAAAAGAAAAAAGGTGTTTAATGCCTAAAGGCAAATGAAAATATGTAATTGTTACAATAAACAAGCTCATAAAAATGCAGATTGGTAAAAGTGTCTAATATAACTTGCAGACATTTGTTTGATTTCTCTTTGCCTTGAGATACTTAATTTACCAAAAACCAAAAAACACCAACAACTTGATTAATACCCTTTGGCTTTATAAGTACTTTTATAGGTTATAGACTTTTAAATCAGCATACAAAGAAGGCAGTAGTCAAGCTGTGGTATATTTTAGTAGTGGAGAAAACGAGGCATCTCTGACAATAATAAGCTTTAATTGTAAACTCACTTATGTTCTACATTGTACCTTATTTCACATCATAGTCACAGTTATAGTTACTACTTAATGAAACAGATTAAACAATTTTATTTATTTCAAGTAGAATTCCTGTGGAGCTGTGAAGTGCATCAGTTCTAATGCTTGTTATTTTTTTCTCTATTACATCTCTTGCTTGTTCTTTTACTAGTCTGTGCATTCATGTTTCAGTAGATGGCACCCTGCATTGTGCATTTGCTTTCTAGGCTACAGCAAGGGAAACAGCTGGTATGTGATTACAACTTGATGGAAAAGTATTCAGCTTAAAAAATGCAGGAGAATTGGTGTTGAGCTGTCACAAGACGTGGGGCATAAGGTTAGATAATTGATATTTTGGCAGAAAGGCAAAGAAATTTGTTTGTTTTGAAGGCCATGTTACAGTTTAGGATTCAAAGGATATTTCTTAAAATGGGTTTTTTAAAACATTTTGTTGTTTTATTTGTTTTAATAAAGCTATGAGAAATACAAAATTCTTGAGTTGTCAGTAATAACAAAGGGAAGTGAAATTTTGGTTGCATATTTCAAATTTTTACTTTTATCTCAATCATTACTACTTAGCACCTTTTTTTATACATTCAGCTATCATAATAAAGTCTAAAATATACCTGCTTATTTTTGCTCTATGTGATTTTCTTTTTTTCCTACTTTTGCTGAGTCAGTGATTGGGGTCCCAACTGAATTCTATGAAAAGCTCAAATCCGAACTAATAGCTCCTAATAGAGAAGGATAAGTATGGACTTTGAAAATAAATTGGCAGTAGAAGATTGGCTCATCCAATTTAGAAGCTAAATTGCTTCTGAGTCTATTACTATTTTATAGATCTTAATTTAAAGTATCTTTAACATAACAATCTTTTATTTATATCGTATCAATTTCCCATTAGAGTGGTGCATATTAATCAATTGTACTTTTTGTTTAAACTGCCAACACTAAAATTTAAATCTAGTTAACTCTGTTATATACTCATAATTATTACTGCTTTTCTTTTATCATGGAAGAGAGGAAATTATTTTACTCCAGATTTCAAATATGTATTTTAATATTACAGTTTTTTGTAATAAAATTGCCACTTCTCACAAAAGTATTTGAGTCAGTGTTATTATACACCCTCTGTACTGATATTTGAATGTTATCTTGGTGCTTAGACAGACTTTGTATATTTACATCAACCGTACACAGCTGTCCACTAAAATGTTTATAAGAAGACAGTGATGTAGTGAAACCCAAATGCTTCAATTAGTAATATACTGTTTATGTAATGATTGGTTAACTAGGATGAAAGAGATTGGTTAAGGGAATGAAAACTAACACTATGTCAGGAGTTGAACTAGGTTGTTATTTTAAAAGCCTATTAGTAACAGGAATACAAAGGGGTCTCTTTCAGTTGGCATTTCGAGGTGATTTTCCTCAAAGTGCCAGAATTTAGATATGTCAAGATAAGAAAGCAAATTTTAGAAGTAATTTGGTTTACAACATTTCAGGAAAATAAGATATTCCAGCCAACAAACATATATTGAGCACCTACTCTTGAACTAAATGCTTTTTCTGGCCCTTCTAGATATTTTTTAATAAGTACAGTTAAGAGTATGTAGGTGTTGCTTATAGTAATGGAGGTAGCTCTGTAGAATTATGCTTCCCATAATCCTTTAACTGGCAACTGTTGACAGGCTTCACTTTAGTTAGCCACAAGAAAGGGTAAGAAGGCCAAAGTATGCGCTTGTAACAGGAGCAAAATAAGAAGTCAAAAGAATGCATCCAATGTTGGACTTTGTTGAACGATTAAATATTTGAGGTTTCAAAAAACAACTGATCAATAGAATTTGTTTCATACTTTAAAAAAATTATTTTCAAAAATCAGAACTTATTTCTATATGATTTATTCATTGTGTATTTGCTTGTAAATAGTAGCGAAATTACATTGCTCTTGATCAAAATGCATGTACACACACATCATGTCTAGTATGCTGTGTATTAATAAAGGTCCTATAACTTAAAGTTCCAATATAAAATAGAAGAGATAGAATTTAATTTTTTTAAAGTCTCAATTATTGACTATTGTTCCAAAACTCCAAAACCCGTTGGGATAACGGGTATTAAAACATGCTGGTGTTAAAGCTGAAAGATGTTTTAATGTGTGAAGATAAAGTGCATGAATGTGTATTTTAAGTGATTCCTAAAGTTAAATTATGCCCTTTATGAAAAAGAGAATTGAGTCATGTCCTCATGCCAATTCTAAAGGAAAGGTAATTCGCTTTCATATTAGGGAATTTCATATATACGCACATAACCCGTTCAAAAAATTTGAATTTGAAATTCAGTGCAAGTTGATTTTAAATACAAATAACAGAAGATGTTTTTATTTGTTTCCTGCAGCCCGTTTGGAAGCCCTTTCCTAATCAAGACAGTGACTTATCGGTACTAAGTGGCACAGGCTCAGAACTGCATATACCTCGAGTATGTGAATTCTGTCAAGCAGTTTTCCCACCATCCATTACATCCAGGGGGGATTTCCTCCGGCATCTTAATTCACACTTTAATGGGGAGACTTAAGACGCATTTGAAAACAGACATATCAAGTTCTATGTGATGATTCTGGGTTTGTAATATTATGTACTTGATTGAAACTTAGCTCAAAATCATTTATTGAAAAATCCAGTGTCACAGCTATTTGAATTTTTTTCTAAACTTATGTTGTAACTTTCTTTTATTACCTTTTAAAAGATCATTCTGTACAAAACTGTAATTCATTGTATTCATGTTTACAGTGTTTATTGCCATAATTCAAAATTATGTATGTGACTTATGGAATTGTATAACAATAATTTATGTTTTTTTCAAATGTCTAAGCTTATTGCTTGGATTTCTAGTTAGATCTATTGAATTTGGTGATGTCAAATGTTTATAGGGTTTTTTTCACTTGTTTTCATTTAAAAGTTTAGATTATTTATGCTGTGGGTGTTCTTTTTGAATAAACCAATAATAGAGAATAGCAGACAAGATAAACATCTGAGTAAATACCAAACCTAAGACATTTGTTGCTCAGTGATAAGATCACTGGTAGGATTATTTAAACACTTTATTATTTTTTTTTAAATAATAGACATGGTTTTAATTTTTACTATACGTATAGCAACATGATGAAATTAAATATTAAAAGAGTTACTTATATTGTGATAATTAATGTGTTCTTTGTTCTTAAATAAATAAATAAATCACATTTGGGGGAAATTCATAAAATTCATGTTTCTTTCCAGTAATCTGATAGAAGGGTGATACCAGATCTGGTGACATTTTATTATAACTAGTAGATCACTTTGAATTTTAAAATTATTTTTCAAACTAAACTTACTAAAGAAACACATTTGTCTTTAATGGGAGCAAATCTAAAACCCTGTAAGGATTATCCATATTAATTAATTTATATTAGAAATGTTCACATTCTTGAGAAATTTGTTAATTCATTGGTAGCATCCTGCCTGATGACGAGACGAAGATATTTAAGAAAGAGGATACCAAATTCAGAGGGTTGCAGAATTTTAAAATGAGACTTCCCTTTCATTTTTCTTCCCTATGATTCTTGTCTTTTAGGTTTCTCTTCCCTCCCCCACCCCACACTTAATTTTTAAAAATGGTCGAGGCATGGCTTCCATTTTATGAAGTAAACACTGATTTGCAACTCTCAAAACAGAAATTTAAGCCTTCTTGGGAACGAGTGTTGTAGAAAGCTGGAGGGTTTCAGGTAAGGGATTGGAACAATTTGTTCAGGTATCACCTGTGCCACAGTGAAGAGCCTTAACTTGTGGAAGAATGAGAGTGGTGCTTCGACTTCTCAGGGTGCCAAGCACATCACACTGACATCTTCCTCACCAAGGTGACATAGCCATTATTAGGCATTCACTGTGAAGGGTTCTGAGGCATGTACATCTTTCTTTCATTGCCGCTGGGGCTGAATGGAAATGCCTAGACAATTATCCAAGTCTCTTCCCTTCCCCCCCTACCTCCCGCCCAGCCAGCCTCCCCTCTCGCTCACTCCTCCCACACACACGCAAAATTAAACATAAAAACTTCCCAGCGTGTTCCAGCCAGAATATACCACTGTACCTATCTCATGAAAGGGGATTCTTTCTCCTTCTCTTTTCTAGGTGAGGAAGAGTTCCTCTCACACAGTTGACATCTACTAGCCTGCTGACAACCAAAGGAAATTGTGGCCCAGAAAGTGACTCGAAGTGGATCACTGACTCCTCTTCTCCAGTCCACCCTTTTGACACCTCCACCACTTTTAGTAAGCGGGGAACTCTTGTTTTCTATTGGGTTCCAGTGCTACCCCAAGCTCCGGCTTCCGAGGGACAGAGGCCCTCTCGGGCCAAGGGACAGGCAGCCTGGAGAACAGGCTCCGGGCCCGCACTGCAGAGGTGGTGCTGGCTGCAGCTTGGAAAGTGGAGTTGGGCACCCGCTGGGTCTCCCCTCTGGCTCTTAGTTCCGAGTCGTGTAGGGGCTGCATCTTGGCATCTGCTACGCGTGGCCGGGTAAGAACAGTTTCCAGGTAAAAAAGCTGCACACGCGAAACGCTGAGTCTGAAAAAACCACCCCCGCCGAGGCGAGGCAGTTGTGAGCGGGATGCCTGAGAAGTGGGAGGTGAATGTCCTCGGGAGGGCCCCCCCGGTGCAGCTTTCCCCGGAGGCTGAGGCTGCTGCCAGCGGGGACATCTGCTTTCTTACTCTCCAGCCTGGCTCACCCCGCCCCCTCAGCCCCGGGTTGCGTGGTTATTTTACCAACACGGGGGGAGGGAGAGCTCGAGGAGGTAGAGAAGGGGTGGATGGAAGCTCGGGAGATGTTCTTCCCACTCCCCCACGTCCCCTCCTTTTTTCTTCACATCTTTTAACCTTCAAAGTAAAGACTATAAATATGAAACGATAAGCGTGTCCGCTGGCTCCCAGGCCCGCCTCCTGCTCGCGGGGCTCTCGGGTGCGGGGCCTTGCCCTCCTCTCCAGCCTCCCCGGAGGCGGCCCGGGTTTCGGTGGTTTCGCCGGGCGCAGGGGCAGGCCGGGTGCGCTCAGCCGGTGGCGCCTTCTCTCCCGGGCTGCTGCCTCGACAGCTGCTTGTAGCTACAGTAATTAGACTGTCAGTGCTTGTTAGAGGAGAGGGGGGAAACACGCTTATGACAGCAGATTCCGAGACTCCCCAGTTTGTTAATTTCTAAGAGATCTTTAAAGCATTAATTGAGGTCTCCCTAACTCTCCCCCCCCCGTCCCTCTCCTCTCCCCAACTCCTCCCTTCCCAAAAATATCTTTAGGGGAAGAGAATTCTCTCCGCGTGGAAGCAGTGTTTCCCGCAAAACTGCAAGCCCGCCCCCGACTCACGCACACGCACACTATTTTATATATACATCTATATGCACACATGTATACGCAGAAGGTTAACTCGGCAGAGGCCTCGTCCAAATAGGAACCAGGATTGCATTTAAAATAATAAATAAATAAATAAATAAATAAATAAATAAACTAGGACGGAAAGGGGGGAGGGAAGCAGAAGTCGGGAAGAAAAGAGAAAAGCAGCAGGCTGATTACGAGGTGTCAAAACTGCCAGGAGCAAGAAGGTGATAGCAATCAGGGGTGAGAAGAGTGCGGCATTCGTGCGGGGCAACTAATTATCCGTCTCATTTGAGAAGAGCAGCATTTGAGGCAGCAGCGTTCGCCTGCTGAACGGTGACAGATTGGCGCGGAGGAGAGGGGAGGTGTTAAAACAATGGAGCCGGGCGCGCGAGCGCTGCTGCATGCTAATCAGCCCTCCCTCCGCCTGCCTGCCGCGCTCCCTCCTTTCTCCCGGCCTCCCTCCTCCGCGCTCCCCCTCCCGCCTGCGGCGCTCCCTCCTTTCCAGCGGGCCCGCCGCCGCCGCCGCCGCCGCCACCCGCTTCCTGCTCCCTCTCTTTCCCGCGCGTCCTTCCCGCCGCTGGCAAGTGGAACCTGGGCCGGGCCACCGCGTCCACCACGGCCCGGGAGCCCCTGCGCTGCCCACCGCGGGCGCCCTCCGGGGTCCGGGCCGCTCGCGAGCCGCTGGCGAGCGCTGCCCCGCGCGGTGCTCCGAGGGCCGGCCCGCTCCCCGCGCGCCTCTTGAGAGTGGGTCTTGGAGGAGAGGCCGGGGAGCCTGCATTCTCGCGCCCACCGCTTTCAGCTGGTGAATTGAACGCGGTGGGCAGCGAGTTGGGAAGCCAGGCGAAGTCAGGAAGGGCGAGGGGTGGGAAGAGAGTCGGAGCCAGGAAGGCGGAAAAGGTCCCCCGGACCGACGGCAGGCCCCCCGACTCAGCCCCAGCGCCGCCGCCGCCCCGAGCAGCGTCGCCGGCCGCGGGCGAGGTCACCGCCGGCAGAGTCTCCCGGGTCGAGCCCCGCAGACCCCAGCAACCTCCCCTCGCCAGCCAGGCCCCAACTGGACTTACACGGTTTAGTAAGCACCGAGAGGAAGACAAATACAGGGCCTGAGCGTTCGTTGTGCTTCCAAGGCTTGACCTCCTGACCCTAAGACTAGACTAAGGGGCTTCCGGACCCCCGGAGATCATACCATTCAATCGTTGCGGGGGAAAGAAAGCCTTTCAGAAACCGGCCACCCGCGCCCTCCGCCGCGGTGACCAGAGGCAGGACCGGGCCGGGGCATCTCTGGCAGCCCAGCTCCCCACCTGAATGTTCCGCTCCGCGTTCTTGCCTTGGGAGAGCTGGTCAAAACCGCAGGGCCGTGGCTGCCCCTGTACAGATAATCCACCAGAACCTGAGTCTCTGCTGGAAAAGGTCTCTTTATACCTGTTGAGGCAGGCCCAGGACCTGAGGTTCTGTCTACTTTTTGAATTTAAAAGCTGATTGTTGAGCTTTTGCTTAAAATACACTTTTGTTCGTACGTTTTTACTACTACAGATTTACATAAACTACCCTTAGAGAATAAAAATCATTGAAACATTGACGTTCTTATGGCTTACGTAGGTTAAGTGAAACACAGCTACAGAGAACTGGTAGGAATTTGGACTGAAGGAGAATGTAATTTCTTCTGACTTGTTCCGTACTATTTAGTTAACCAGGTGCCTAAATTAACATAATAAAACTTCCTTCCCTCAAGCCAGACATGGAAAAGGAAAGCAGTTGAAAGGTAATCCATGCAGTATAATTTTTGTTCTGCTGACCTTTACCATTGCATAACTTCACACACAATTGTTTCTTTAAAAAAATCAATATAAAATGTGAAAGTTTGATAAAACTGTCATATATATATGACGGTTTCATTTATATTACTCTCTCTACCCTTCTCTGTTTGAAATGTTTCATAACAAAAGTACAACACAAAAAATAAAATGACCTGAGTAAATTTTGGTATTTTCTATCTTCATCCCTGACCTAGTCCTATGAAAAACTACACAAACACACAGAGTGAATAATTTTTCCTTTTAGAATATGCCCAGGCATACCAATACAATAGCTGAATGCAAAATTGTTAGGATCTACTGAAATCATACAGAATGTTTAAAAGTTTTAAAACTGAAAATTCTTAAAAAGAGTTGTATAAAGAATTGTGTGTAAATAAATGTTAATGCTTTTTGGTTTCCACTCTTGGGAAAACCACTAAGTAGGCCTCTCTGCACTTAGTACATCACAGACTTTTTAGTGCTAGAGTATTAGCTGGCATTTGGAAAATTCCCTGGCATCTCAGTCTGTTAAAATATCAACCTATCTAACAGAAAAAAAAATTAACTTTACATTTCTTAATGTAAACTTGGAGATTCAGATGCTCCATCAGCATCAAAATTAAGCAATTTATTAACTATTCATCAGCCTTTTCTCCATTAACCAATTCTGTGTAAGCAAAGTGTCTCTCTCTGATGTGGTAAACCTATAAAGTACAAATAAATTTAGTTCAATTCCATGTTGTGTTATGTATTTCTAATATATAATCAAATCCTTTACCTTCCAACAACTTGGTTATTATGGATTTAGTGTAATTTCTTCTCAGTCTATAGACTTCACAAATTTGCATGATTGTTTTAATGGTGTATTTACAGATAAGTTTTTATTTGCACATAAGGACAAAAAGGTGAAGTGAAATTTGGTCCCAATGGAAACCTGTTAGGTTCCCTGAACATATGGCTCATTGGGCTGTTACTTCCTTTTTGAGATCATTTTCCAAGATTTTTTAATATATACATCAATTTGACACCAGTTATAAAGAAAATATATTGGCTTTGAAAGTGCCTCCACCTG